AATTTATAATTAGTTTTTTCGGAAAGGTTTCTTTCTTACAAAAGTGTTGACGATTAGAATAATAACAGCAGGTTATTGCAGAATAAACTTTATGTGTATTCTCCGAAAACGGGCCAGCGTTTATATGAAATACCGTTGGAAATAGGAACAATATCAGGTTTTTTTGGCCGTAAAAGTCATACAGAGATGTTTCTGCAATTTGATTCATTTCTTACGCCAGGTGTCATCTATTATGTTGATTTCAAGGGCATAGAACTATCACATCCAGTAGAGTTGAAGGTTTGGATATTCTTTTATTTTCCGGCTTAATTATTGATAATTTTAATCATCAGAATCGTGACATCTTACAGGAAGTGCAAAAACTTCTTCCGTTAGTTTATTAGTGATGATTTAAATCGTTTAGTTTTTTTTATTTGTTTCGAATTTTCAAGAAGATATTTCATCGTTCTTTTTCATTATTCTATCAGTGTTGCGCCACAATGTGATGCCAAATCAGCAGTTCACAATGACGGATTTTGTATTTAAAAAAGTTACATATATTTTTTCTAATACAAATTTGTGCAAAGTATAGAAATTTTTAGGAAATTCGGAGAATCAATGTTAAAGGCATAGATACAAGCAAATTCAGCGTAAAACAAGTTTTTTGTAAAAGCAAAGATGGAACAAAGGTAAGTCTGTTGATTGTGAAGGAACAATAAGTTAAAATGTTTTAACCTATGTATCTTAATAGTGTTGATTTGAAAAACAGCTATCACGACAGTGAATCTATTTATCAGCATGAGAATTAATTTTGGCCATAATCATGTATCGCAATTATTGAGATGATGACAATAATTACAGTTTTTGCTAAAGTAAGCTTAAAAGTTTAAAAGTTTGTAATATCTAGATCATAGTATGACCAGCTAGAGAATAGTCGGAAGATAATTCTGGTGATATTGACCTATCAAAAACAGGTACCGCTATACATTGTTCATGACAAAAATTTGGAAATGAATGGAAATACTCCGACCTTGCTTGACGGATATGGCGGATTTAACATTGCTCAAATGCCACATTTCTCCGTTTCGCGTATGTTATTCCTCGATAACTTCAAGGGTGTCTTCGCGTTGGCTAATTTACGTGGTGGAAGGTAATCTAATTTTAAATTCACGCAACGCGTTATATCCTTATTAATTATTTTAGCGTTGTTTCTGCTATTTAAAGTGTTAAGATTAGATTAATAATTCACATTTTAGAATTATACTGATTAAAACGTTTTCAATTTCATACTCGTGTTTGACATATTTAATTATTCCTCCATAGTTATACTATATACAATTTTTACAGTTTTTTGCTTTTGACATTGTTATAGTTTCTGCAGTATACTGCTAAAGAAAATAAGTCACGTTTGACTTTTATACATTCCAGTGAATATGGTGAAAAGTGGCATGAAGGCGGAATGCGAGAACGAAAACAAAATGTTTTTGATGATTTTATAGCTGTTGCTGAATACCTTATCAGTAATAACTATACATCACCAAGAAAGTCAGAGTTATTTGTTCATAAAATTCACTTTATTTTTTCATGAAGTTATTAAGAAATATTAGGAAAAATAATTATGTCAGTTCAAAAAGGAAGTCATAATAATTCTTAAAAAAGCTTAAAGCTTCTAATATCTGTACCTAATATGACCAGCTAGAGTTTTTACGGACAATATTTTATTAATTTCAGCATATTATCTTTTGGATTTTGAAATTTCGGAAGTTTCATTTTAGATTAGCTATACGTGGTGGTTCAAATGGTGGCTTATTAGTTGGTGCAGTTTCGCAGCAACGTCCAGAACTTTTTGGTGCTGTTGTAAATCAAGTCGGGTATGTTAATCTTTTTTAAAAAATAGAATAATATATTCTTTACATGGTTATAGATTTAAAATTTTTATATTAAACTAGTGGATAGGAATGCAGATATTATTCATTTTGTTATGGATTAAAAAATGAGAAGTAGATGTCCAGTAAATGAAAATTTTGATACATTGTTTAGAGAAAAGATTAAATTGTAGTTGGGACAAAATAGTTGAAGATAAGAAAGCTAATGGGGAAGACGCTTTTAAGTTTAAGTTTGTTCTACTTTGTTTACCTTATTATTGCTATTATTACTTATGCTATTACTACACAGAGTTCTTTTTTCAGTGTGCTTGATATGTTACGATATCATAAATTTACTATTGGTAATGCATGGATACCGGAATATGGTAATCCTGATGAAGCATCTGATTTTGAATTCATTTACAAGTATATTATGCAAATTTTTTCCAATGTCCAATAGCTCTTTCCCTAATTTTTTTCGTCATATTTCACTTCTTCCTAATTTTCAAAAAGATGTTACCTGACTTGATACTAATAGCATAACCAATTTTTACCCGTAATTTGGGTTTAAAATATGCCAAAGGCTTATTCTGTATACTTTATTTGGAATTGGAATCATTCTTTAAATTCTTTAATTGAATTAAAGCTTGATTATTCTAACGCTGATGAATCATTTATTTGCATATATGAACTTTTTCCTATCAAAAATTTGGGCTATATCCTTATAAAGGTCTCCTTTACTATAGTTCTTTAACGCTTTCTTTTAACGTATAAAAATGTGATTTCATGCTCAATTTCCAGATATTCTCCACTTCATAACATCGAAATTCCAAATAAAGGTCATCAGTGGCCATCTACAATGCTTATGACAGCTGATCACGATGATCGTGTAGTACCTTCACATTCTCTGAAATATATGGCTCGCCTATACGAAGCTACTCGATCAGCAAATAGTTTCCAGAAAAAACCGCTCATTATACGAGTAGATGTAAAAGCTGGCCATGGAGCTGGCAAACCCACTAGCAAACTTGTAAGTTATTTCTTTTTTATTATTTTCAACATCGAGTTTCGCTAAAACGGTCAAAAATTGATTTTCAAAGGATGACGCTCGATATATCTCATAAATGAACAAAATCCCAACATTTTTGTATTCATATTTTCTTAATGTAATATTTTTCAACCGAAATAAATTCAAATAGCCAGGGAAGGTGAAAATTAGATGAAGCAGACGATGATCTTGGATTGCTTATTGAGATGCTAAGGATACTGTGATGACAAAAGTCTTCAAATTTGGATTTTTTTGGAATTAGAATTTTTTTTTGCAATTTCAGATCGCTGAAATAGTGGATATGTATTGTTTTCTGCAAAGAGTATTAGATCTAAAATGGTATGAAAGTGAATGAAAATGGAATTTAATGCACAAACCGTTTTCAAGTCCACTTTTTCGAAATCTTTTGTATTACTTTCCATCTTGCATTGTCATCTTTCTCGTTTTTCGAAATCCCACCACTTGATTATGAATGACTAATGATAGAGAAAAAATTAGAAATATCAGATATTTCCTAATTACTTGCTTTTCCAGAATTATTTTTATGTTCCGGAACCTTTCGACTGAATCTGTTTGTGTTACTTATAAATGAACTTTGATTGATTTTTTGATTCAGTTCTGTTTTCAAAACTTGTTACCAGCACATTGTTACTTTGTTAACGTCAGTTTAAAGCTGAGTAAACATTTCAAATTGCAATATTGCAGTGAGTTACACTTACAGTGAAATTTAATACTTTCAGAGCGTTCTTGTCCAAAATTTATAGAATTAATGATTGATTTGAAGAAGTGTTTAAATAAAATATGCTCAGGCAGTTTCTTTTGCAATTTAGAAACTAATCAAATCGATATATTCTGAAGGAAATTTAAAAAGAAATAAAGAAAATGAAACGATGTGAAATATCATGGAAATCTTTGCAGAAATGAAATCAATATTAAAAAGATTATTACTGCAACAAAGTAGTGAATTGAGAATGGAATCGACAACGGAGAAAAAGATAGTGTGGATCTCGGCATAGTTTTTATGAAGATTCCCTTGAATTGTTAACTTAAAAAAAGTTTAGAACACACTAATAAAATTCGTAATAAAATACTGGTTACTATGCTATCATATTTTCAGTTAAATTGATGATGATTTAGAAGTCTTCCGGAAAATTCTACAAAAATTTTTTAAAGATTATTTACGAAATACAAATGCAATAATAATTAAAAATTTAAGAAATCTTCAAATTTAATGAAATTTTTAGGGCTTTTTTTCAATTTATGTTGCTGTATCTGGAATTAGAATCGTTTACTATTTTCAGTATTTTGATAATCCTAATTATAAGTTAATAGTTAGTTAATGTAACCATTTCAGTTTAGTGATTGCCATTTTCATTTTTGAATTCATGTTATAAGCTTAAGATAAATTAATTAATATGTTGTGTGCTTGAAATAAATTTAATTAATATATCATTGATATGTGATGATTTAATATGACCAAAGAACGATGAAAATTTTTGAAAATTTCGCTATTCGAAAATTTTGTAGTCGGAAAATTTGCACATTAGTATACTTCTCGCATTGGATATTGCCCACCGCTGCAGTCCAACAATAATTTTAGATTTAATTTTACAATTCTGGATTGAATCAACTAAACTGGAAACAAATAAGTAAACACATCATTTTATTAATTTTATATTTAATATTGCAGTTTAAATTCACTAATAGGAAAGTATTTTTTCATCTGTCACTAAGAATAGGAACATTAAAAAAGTATTCTAAAATACTTTCCGCAGTATAAATTTAACAGTCATATTACTGCAAAATCAAACTAAATTTCAGGTTAATTTCAAGAATATTGAATGCAAACGAAGTAAAAGAAAAGAAAAAAACAAAAGTATAATAGTAAGCAAAATGGTAAATCGATAACCGAAATAGAATTTTATCGGCGGTCTATCAAGAAAAAAACTCTCATCAGGATAAATTAAGTACTAAAATTAAGTACTGCTCAGAACATCTTTTTAAAATTAACCGAAAGAAATCACGGAATTTTTAACACATGTATCCTCAAATCTGGGATTTTGTGATTTTACGATGTTTCCATAAAGAATTTGACAGTGAATGAAATTTTCAGAGTAAATTTAACAGCTGTACAATAACTTGGCATTGTATCGTACGCCAAAAAAATATTAGCTCTTCTAAAATATTTCAGACACTTCATGATACTTTTAAGGAAAATTTGACACTTATACAGTAATTTAGTACTCATACAGTAACCCTGAATGAGATTTGATATCCACCGTACCCCTGAAAAAAGTTTCCTATCGTTTAGTACTTCTGAAAAGAATTTAACACTTCATTATGCCTCTAGGGAGAATTTGGCAGCTATACAGTAACCTTGAATAAGATTTGACATTCTATCGTACCTTCCGGAAAGGATTTCCTGTTGTACAGTATTCTTGAAAAAATTTTTACACTTTATAATAGTTCCGGAAGGAATTTTGGTTTGTGCAATAGTGCGAAAGTGGTAAGGTACTTTTGGAAGCAAATGAAACGACAAAAAATGAGGTAAAAAAATTTGCATATTCGCTGGGAGGGCGGATAGACAGGTCGAACAATATGCAAATTTTATGTAATATCAATTTTGCCATATATAAATCGTCTGTAACTCCTCCATCATTCATTTTGGAACATTCGCTGATGGGAGGTGGTTGGATGGGTGAGCTGGGAGATTGGGATAGGTTAGGAGGTGCTATTGGAGTGTTTATCGGTTGGTACTGGGGTTTATTGGGGGTGAACGGAAGTAAGATCAGTTTAGATGGATCGGAAACAGGATCCGGAAGATGGACCGGGAGCTTCTTTCGATTAGAGGTCCATTGACCGTGAAGAAAGATTCTTGAAAGAGACTGAAAGTGCGTTCGGTCGAAGGGGGAGAGGTGAATCACCGGGTGACTTAGAGAGATGGACAGAGAGGATTACAAGGAGAAGGATTCGAGATGTGGGACAAAGAAGAAAACGAAAGAGAGTTCCGGAGATCGAGGAGGATTCGGAAAGTGGAATGAAATTAATTCGGGAAATGGATCAAGGGAACAGTTCGGGAATTTTGTCAGAAAAGGGATTAGAGAGAGAGAGAGAGAGAGAGAGGGAGAGAGAGAGAGAGAGAGAGAGAGAGAGAGGGTAAAAAGGATTTGGAAAATGAATGGATAAGGAGATCGACCGCAGAATTCCAGAAATACATCGAGGGAAAAATTTAAAATCTGTCTAGGAGAGTATTAATGGTAGTGGAATATTATTATTTGTACAGTTTAGTTATGGCTTAAGTTATTTTGCATATTTTTCAACCAATGATAATTTATGCAAAAAGTTGAATGAATGAGTCATCTCTTAAAGGGCTACTACTTTTCTGGGATTTTCCTTCCTCCTCCCCTCCCCTCCCCTCCCGTTCAGCGATATCACTTAATACATTGCATTAGATAGTTCGAAAGCGGGAAAACTTTTCGAGCACTTCTTATTGTGTGGCGTTAAAAGAGTTGAGTGCTAATTAAGGAAGGTAGAATTATTGCTGAATGATTTGAAGTATTTAATTTGAAAACCATTTAAGAATTTCTCATTTTATTGTAGGCAGAAATTACAATTAGAATATTGTGTATGTATAATTCATGATAATTTCAGATCGATATCAGATTTCATCATACAATTTCAATCTCATATCAATCATGTCGTCATTTGCGAATCAAAATCCTTACTTATACCAAAGCAATTTGCAAAATTCAACTCAACAAATTCCTGTAAGAGGAAATGATTCAGATAATTTAAGACAAGAGAATATGTTGAATTGTATAAAAATTCAACAGGCTAAAATAGAAAATTTCAAACAACGTGTGACGGAATATCGAACAATGCTGAAGTGTGTACGATCGTTGCACTCGGCAGAAAATATGAAGAATCGTAGAAAGCGCCGAATGATGAAGCAAAAATGTGAACGGTACATGAAGGAAATTGCTGAGAAGCAAGTAAGTTAAGAATGTATGAAATGATAATTTTTGAATATGTAAAAGTGTTAAAAAAATAAATTTAAATTACGAAAAGAAATAAATATTCTCAACTTTATGAAAGGACATAATTAATCAATTATAGCATTTAGCTTCGGAGAAAAATTGAATAGTAATCAATTTTGATGTTTTCTAAAACAGCCAAATTAGGAAATACTAAATTTTAATTTATGAATAACAACTGATGATTATATGATGTAGTAGGATATATGTTTCGAAAATTTTAATTGAAGTTAAAGATGAATTGTTTCCGTACAATTTTTAACTAAATATTAAACAATACGAATTTTTTATTTCAATAATAGAAATTTCGTTTCTCAATTTAACAGAATATCATAATTTGATATTGAAAAAAAGAAGAAGAAATAAACTGCAGGAATTCTGCAAACATTCAATCTAATTTTAAGAATGAATTCAAACATTGAAATAAATAATTGCCCCTTTGCTATTTTTTATTTCATTTTATTTCATCTTCACTACTTTTTTTACCCAAAAAATATTCATTATTTTTGCTTATGCTTTTTTTTTTTGCTTCTAATAACTGATTAATAGATACAGGTGAGTATATCATTTAAATCATTACCAATTTTTATATTTTAGAAAATGAATGACATTCTTCAAGAGAATTTTCGCATGTTAGAGCAACAGCTTAGCAATTGTCTTCGACAATTATTTGAACTACAAGCGGAAAGTGGACGTGAACGAAAAAATATGACTCATTTGGAAGAAATTTTAGAGCAACTGAAGGATATATTGATGCAGACCAGAGGAGAAGTTGCAAAAAAGAATCGTATTTGCAATGTTACTTTAAAGAATGCTTTACAAGCAAAACGTGCTACTGAGGAAAAGCTTCGAGAAGCATTGATGAAACATGAAATGGAAGTGAAGCGTTCTATTGAATTGGAAGAAAGCATGAAGATGCTAAAATCAACAATTAATCAATTGAAATTGGAATTGGAGCAGAAAGAACAATCATGCAACGATTCTAAAATACGAATAGCGATGCATAACGAAACAGCATCTTTGGTACATCAACAAATTTATGAAGCAAACAAAAAAGCTGTTGAGCTTGCAAACGAAAATGAAAAATTACATTCGCAATTTGCAAATGCTTGTTTAGAGCTGATTGATTCTCGAAAAGCTCATAATAGAATGATAACAGAAATGAATGAAATTAAATCCAAAAACAGTAAACATCGTGAAGAATTGCAAAAGCTGAAACAAATAGTTGAGATTGAAATGGCATCATTAATTCGAACAGTTGAAGAAAATCAGATGCACATCAATGAGAAGGGAAATGCGATTAATTCACTAACTCATGAAAATTTAGTAAATAAACAGCGAATTCAGGAATTGGAAAAAATTAAGAAAGAATTGGAAGAAGAAATTGAGCGTACCGGTATAGTGCTTCTATTTCAACATCAAGAATTGGAAGTGTATGAGACAAATCGAAGAATGCAAAGTCGAAAAAATAATTTGCTGAATAACGAATTGATCGAAAATGCGGTACGATTGCTAAAAAGTAAAACTGAACAATTTCAGCATGTTATGCATCATTCCATTAATAGTATTGTCGGATTTCGTAATCAAATGACATATATGCTTGAGAATATCGATGTAAGTTATTTTTTTTCTTTTTCTTCCTCTCTCTCTCTCTCTCTCATTCTCTCTCTCTCTCTCTTTTCCTCTCGAATTTTACTCTTTTTTTTTCTTTGAAAAAATTTCACGTAAATTTGATGATTACTTTTATTTTTTGTTTGTTTAAAAATGATAATTAGAAGGGGAAAACTTTTTTTTTTCCTTAGTGATATTTTTTAAAAGTGATAAACGAATAGTGTTTCTTTTCTCTAATTTATGTTTGACATTTTTTTCCTATTAGAACAATCAACAGAATTAATGATTAGAATTCTTTTTGAATTTTTTCAGAAATTCCTTCGAATGATATGTGAGGAAAACGTGATACAACGAAATGAATTGGAGATTGGATCGAAACATTTTCCTATATGCAATGTATTTTTTTTCTTCTCGATTTTTTTTCTCGCCTGAAATAAATAATTATTGTTATAGGAGGGATAAATGGCGTAAAATAACTAAAAAAATTCCGGGCAAATAATATTTAAAATATAGCTTTAAATTTTACGAAGTCATGACATGTGTTTTATATTAAATTTAAAATTTTAAAATGTTAGAATGGAAAAATTTCCCCTTTCTCTCTCTCTGCCTCCTCTTTAAAAATAAAACATTTTCTGTTTATGTTTCTTTCTTTCTTTCTTTTTATTTTTTTATTTCCTAGCAAATCTACAATCAAAATCCATTACATCAGAATATGCTTGGTGGACAAATGCAACAAAATTTCATGTTCCCGAGCACGTGTAAGTTTTGAATAAATTTACGCTTATCGGTATGATTAAATTTTGAATGGACATTTTTCACTTATTTATTAAGGCAAAATTTGTGACCTAATTTTAGGATAAATAAAATAAAATGAAGAGGAATCAAGAAAAGATAAATTTATTTGATTTTTTTTCTAGCCTTTTCCTCAGTTATCATTTTCCTAACATTTTATGATATTTTAATAGTACAATTTAAAATGAATGAGACTCGTATATTGAATTTGTTTAAATTTCATTGATTGCAATAATAAGGAAAGGAGCAAGATGTAAAATTCATGTATTTGAAATTCAAAATTAATTTAGATTAACTGCGAAATTTTCAGCTTTATATGGAGAAACGAGTAATGAAGCTGGTTTTTCGGAACCAGCTAATCAGTATTATTACAATCAGCAGAATGTTGCGATTAATGACGGTCACGATGATGATAATAATAACGATCAGGCACGGTTATTAATTTTTTTAAATCTTTCAAATCTAAATGATCAATTCATCATTTTTTATCAACTACTCTTATTTTTTCATCGAGTAATACTAATTCTGAAGTTTATTTAAGCTATTATTAAGTTTCAGTGTATTTCACCTTGAAATCAATTTTTTTTCGTCCGCTTTCACTTGATCAATTTATTTTAATTCCATTCAGCTAAAAGAAGGACAGGTGAAAAAATGAGAGCATAATATTGAATGCAAAACCGAATAGTGTGTTAACAATTTGACAAAAATGATCGCATATCTTCCTTTCTAAAAATATGAAATTTTATTAATGCTATTTCACTTTCAGGTAAACGTCAAAATATGCTAAGTGCGGTTTTGATTTGGAATTGCTGCAATTAGAAGAAATCGTTCTTCTTTCCTGTTTCTTTTTTTGTTCGATTCTATTCTATCAGTTAATTTTTATGTTTATTGATTGTTAGCACATGCTAACTATTTACTCTTATGAAAATTGCACAAAAAACCTCAAGCTAAATTCTTAAATGAAACTTTTCTTTTCACTCTCCTGTAGAACTAATTTTAATTTTCAATTTTTATTTTTAAAAAATAACAGCTAAAAGATGAACCTGTTTTCATTGCACAAATAGATCCCAATCCCTCAAGTAGCATTTATATGTCCTAAATGGATAATCTTATTTGGACTTTCGTTGGTACCTGTCGAGTTTTTTTTTCTAAACATCTATTGACTATTTGTCTGTTTTTTTTTTTAAGATTGTTTTTTATATTTCCAATCAAACATAAGAATTTTTAAAAGAATAATTCTTTTTTCAACAAATATCAGACGAAAAAGACGAGAAAGGCAGCTGAGAGATTGGCATCAAAACATTTTAGCTTAAGCTTTTTTTTTTTCTTGCTTAGAGTTAAATACGATCTTTCCTCTTCTTTCTTAATTAATTTCAATAATTTTTGCCGAAAAAAAAATTCAAACAAATTTTTTTTCTGCAAAAATTAATTAGCCAAATGTTGAAATAGTAAGAAATTTGGATCAACTGAAATAAACGAAAATAGCTATTTTTGTTTCATTTTATATTTTAAGGGAATTTAGGATCTGATATTTGTGCTAATGAATTTTCTTTTTTTTTCCCATTAATTCTCACAAATTAAATATGAATTGGTACAAAATTACGAATTATTATTCATGAAAACAAAATGTGACAAAATTATCGTTTATATAAAATTTTGGGTACAATTTTTGGATCTTTTTCCTTCCTTTTCTATGAAAAAATTTGTTTTCGGTTGCTAGAAATTTTCGGCGAACGATTTAAGGGAAACGGAAGAATAACTGAAACAAATGGAAAAATTATTATTTTTCATCTCTATCATTTACCTAAAATTCTATTTTTTACATTTATGATCTGTTCTTGTTTTTTTTTTTTTTAAACGTTCATTCGTTTAATGTAATACTCTAATAATAAATACGTTAATAAAAATTTTTTTCTGGTTAATTTTTACAAATTAATCTGTGTGCCCTATCAAAAGGAATTACGAAATTATTCTCGAAATGAAATATTTGTGCCTGAATAGATTTTTACATAAATTTCGAATGCATCATTTCATTATAGTGTTTATTATTTCTTGACATTAAAAAGCTTTATAAAATAAGCAAAAATGTCTTATTTCTAGAATTTTTGAATTGAAAACGTTAGGTAAACAGCAATATAAAAAACGGAAAACAAATGCAGTAAATGACAGCTGTAGTTTGGAAAGAAAATTGATCATTTAAGCGTACGTAGAGGAAATGAAGAGAAGAGAATGGATCTGTGGAAGAATGAAATTTTTTGGACCTTCAAATCAACATTTTCAATCTTTCTAACTTCACTGTATCTTTTCTTTTTCATTTAAAAAAAAAAAAATTTTTTTTTAAATTTAATTTTTTCTTTCAAATCAGCTTCTCCTCTTTATCATAATCTATATGCTTTATTTCATTTCGTTTTCAAATTTTTTAACTCTCTAAGGTTTAGCACATCTTACAAGTTGCTATTTTAATATTTTTATCATTAGCTTAGAATATCAATATTTCACGCATTTTGCAAATTCAAATTTATGAAATCATTAATAATAGCACTGTAATTTGCAAAAATGAATTTTATCTTTTCTGATAAAATATTCACATCGATC